GACGAAGTAAACAACTTAAGCGCGACATGCGCGCGAGTATCACACGCGCAAGTCGAAGTCTGGGCTGCCGATATAGTTTGCAAAATGACAATTAAATTGCTGATGTTTTTCACTGAAACACAAACGTTTCGTCTTAGCCAATCAGGAAGTTGCTGATTACCAGTCTACGCTCGTTTGCATTTCGTGCATGCGCACAAGTACCATGACCATTGAACGTCCATGGTCCAAATTTAGGCGACTTTGGATTCCGCTATGTTCTCCCGGGTCCCTGGTGTAATTCCTAATCTCCGGGCGAAATTAGTACCCTCGCACGGTGCTCCGCACCGGCTCGGGGATAAAATCTGCCAACTTTGCGTGGCTATATTTTCCGTATTTTACAAAATTTCGCAGCCAAACTTTGCATTTGCAGTAATTTAAGTAAGATCTTTCTAGCTGTGATGATTTGTTTTCTTCTAGTTACTTCGATCAAAAATTAGTCTAAAGCGCAAGTCGTCCATTAATGCTTCAAATACTACCTTGGCCATCTCTAGAGTAGAAATTCGATTAATATAACCTTTGCAGAGGTAGGCATTTGACACAAAGCCATGGGATGAGGGGTACTTAACAACAACAGGACAGTTGTGACTTCTGACATCTTGTCATCAAATTGAGTTTTATGTGACGTGGTTTGAATATTATTCAACATTTGAACCAAATTATAAATATTGAAGTATTGAGATACAAACACCGAAATCATGTAAGAAGTAAATCATAGCAAACTTTTTTTCGGTGCTCGAAACTCTTGGCCAATTTTCCGATGCGCGATTTGATTTCGTTCGCATGATACGGAAATTCCTCGAATAAATCGTTCTTTTGATGCTGTTGGATTAAGTTTAGGTTTAATTGGGGTAAGAATAACTTTAATACATGTAGATTCTGGTTCTATTTTGATAACATCGCTGCTATTTCGCCGTTTAAATATGTGGTCGTGTATGGCGCGTTGACACGTCGCACACGATTGAAGAATACCACTTACATCAATGCGAATTCCAAAGTGTAAGAAAAAGTGAAAGCCATGTCCGTATGTAGATGTATCATGTAGACATGCATTTTTTAACTTCTATATCTTTTAAAGTAGCTACGATGTGCTTCTAATGTCGAACAACATTTAGGTTCACAACGCTTCTATTCAGACAACACACCGTGCTTTAAAGTATATAATCTATACTTTTAAAGCACGGTGTGTTGTCTGAATATCGAACAAGTAGGTTCGCAAGGCTTCTAAACAATGAGTATGAACTGTAGTGTTTATGTTCAGTAGCTGGCAGGTGCGCGGCACGCCGGGGTTAACGGGTTACTAGTCTACGAAGTCTATATGACGGGGCTGGCGTCTTGTTTTCAAAATATTTTTTCGAAAAGTTTCCATGGTAACAGGCGAAATACTTGTACTGTCTGTTCAAATGTTTCCAGGTTTGAAAAAGCTTGTGATAAAGTTTGAACAGATTCAAAGTTGTCGCAAGTCATCGCAAGTTGACGGTCAAACGAGATACAAGCAAGCACAAGCAAAAACGGCGATGGAGTTGCGTCCTCGTTTGATTTGGGCTTTCAGGATTGTTTTCTTTGCGTAGATTTACAGGTGGTATAGGGTATCGACGCCAGGCAAGAAATCGCTAGGTGAGTTTATTTAAAATAGATTGAAACTAATTTTGTCATATCGGGTAAATTTTCCTGCGAAGTCTAGCTAGGGGGTTCTGGTTATACCACCAGCTATATTTATTTAAAATATGTTAAAAATTAATTAGATAGCGCACCACAAATTTTAGAAGGATGTCAACATTGTAATACGGCACTTGTGAAATTTTCATGAAGAGGCAGGGAATAAAAACTTTTACACGACAACAGGAGGCAAAAGAGGATGAAATTTATGAGGTTTGTTTTACGACATCCTGCACGTATAAACTTAGCGTAAACGGCGAATAAGTTCAAAATAGAAAGCAAATCTATCGTTTTAGCCAACAAACGAACTAAATGTTTTTGAACTTAATACAAACGGATACTGTTTACAACTACATATTCAGTGCATAATATTCACGTTGACTCATATAACCGGCCCCTAACCCTGGCGGATTACATATAAATTTGCCAATTTTGCATCGCCAAGAAATTTTGCGATTTTTTCCTTTATTTAATAAAGAAAGCAGAGAGAATGAACTGTTTCTTTCTTATTGCATGCATATATCATGCAAAGTTATAAAATTTACAAAGCAAAAAATGAGATATTCACGCTGTAGAGCCTGTATGTAAAGGCCATTTTAGAACAAATTAGCTATGCGACGACAATTTTAATAATTCCAAGTTGTACTGCATTTTCCAAGCATTGTTGTGAAAAATTTAATGTCTTGATTGTCATCGGATTCCGTCCATTTTTTAGTGACCTCACTCGAAATTATTATGCAAAAAAATTGACATCGATATCCTTTAAAAATTCGCCGACAGCGAAATTTCACACATTTCTTTACGTATACAATGGTGCATGGTCAAAAAGAACTGCTCAAATGTTGCTATTATCGTATGTAACAGGAATCGTAACAATCAATCTTTTATTGTACACTAGCGGTCACAAAGAACTGTTTAGATACAAATTCAAAAAAAAGGGAGGGAATATAGGAGAGAGCTTCATAGGCATTTTGGATAATTCTCTTATTCCAAGCAATATATTATAATAATGTAATGCAACCTACCACACTTCCAAGATATAGTCAAACAACGGTTTCAGGAAGAGGGAGTGACAGAGATGGATTGACCTGCACAGTTAAAAGACTAAGCCCCTATTGAAAATTTGTGGGACAATGTCAAGGGGATAGTGCAAGAAAGGAATTCATTCATAAAGCGTTCATGATTTATGCGTTGCTGTAAAGACTGTCCATAGGATGAATTTCTTTTGACCGTTAAGATTACAACCTTAACAAAAAGTATGCCACGCCAGTGTAAGGCCGTTATCAATTATAAGGCCAAAGGAGGGTCAACAAAATATTAATATTTCATATAGCTTAGCATGTAATCTATTCTATATTTACCGCGCCAGTGTATAAGCTAAAAAGGTTCCCGTGCGTTGAATATCTCTGGCCTAATTATTTTCTTATCTGTCCAGTTCTTTATTTTTCAGTCAATGACATAATTGGTGCTTTAGTATTATATTAATAATAACCAAAAAACCAAAAAATCCTGATAAGTCTCGAAAACTTTCATCTTGTCTTTTGGATGAAAAGATTTCAAAAACAACCTTCAAAGTTTGAAAGATATATCTCGGAGGATGCGAAAAAAATGCTCATGAACACATTAAAATTAACCCATGTTTGGAAAAATGATATTCTTAAAACGATTTGGACTCGCTGTCAAAGAGCCAATAAAAAATTTGGTCAGCGAAATTGGAGAAATCTAAAAACAAATAAATTTTATTGGTTATACTTTTGAGAGGGTTATTAAAATCATCCCTGTCGGTGAACAAACCAAGTTTTTAAGATTCATCAAGGATTTTCATCAAATTTTCTAAAATCCCCATATTTTGTTAAAAAACTAAACCTTAATTCCATAAAATAAAAATTAATCTTTAACAAGTCATTCATGCTTGCAAAAGCCACTCAAAAGTCACTCTTTTTTTTTCACGTTAAATTTCCTGTTTGATTTTAGTGTTAAGACAATTTTCCATTGTAATCGCTTTGCCCGCGAGGGGGAAGCACCCTTTGTTTATCAGACCGGTCACGGTCGCATGGATAGATTTTAAGCATGTGTATTTTTGGTGAATAGCTTTTACGTTAAACTGGCTATGCTAACGTACCCATATTTCTACGATTCAATGCGATGTTTTGATAACTATATAGTTTAATAAATATTTAAATATTTTCTACTATTTTCTGATAAATGCACCCTGTATATGCGTTTTTAGATTTTTTACACACATAATTTTTAGAAATGTCCAAAAAGAGAAGAGTGGTTGAAGCAGATCCTCTCCCTGATGCTCTTGGTACTCATAAAGCTTGTTATGACAGTCTCAAACCTGCTACAAATACAGGTATTTAAACATGTGCATCAGGGGTGGTTTTATAAGCACTAGCTATCGTGTAAATTTATTGGTTTTGCAGCTTTTGAAAGTAATGCAACGCAACAAAGTAAACAATTTGACCCCAAGGTAGTACGATCCTCGGATTACCAGCAATCTGAACGTGTCAAGAAAGCCGGTAAGCAATAACATAAGCCGGAAACCCAAGACCTGCGCTCAACTTTGGGACCTGCTGAGTCAGCAAAAAACGTAAAATTTGCATAAACGATTTTTGAACCCCCCCTCATCTCATTTGCATAATCAGCATAAATGATTTTTTTTTTTTTTTCACCGAAATAAGAAATAATTTATTCACATTATTAGTACTAGGGAAATTTACAATAATCAATCATGCATTAAAATTAAGTATAATAGTTCTACAGACTATTTACAAAAACAACTTAACTAGACTACTCGCTAATGTTGGAGTTCCATTCCGACAACGTAATGTCGTTAGTTGATGTGATGGACGCAGTCCTCCAACTTCGACTGCCACGAACACACACCACGCGAGCTCTAAGCAAAGCAAAGGCGATCTTTCGTCGTAACCAGCTAACCACCATAGATGGAGAATGATTCTTCTTGTCAGCCAGCTTCGCACCCAGGAAGGAAAGAAAATGTTGGGTCTCTCTTCCGCATCCGCCAAAGGCGCTGAAGACGACCGGTGTGAATGAGCCATGCTCGACCTCAACAATCCTCACCAATCAGCATAAATGATTGACAGGCGTCAATAAAAAATTGCTGACTCTGCAATCTTGGAAATGCGCTCAACGTCATCAACAAAAAAACGCAGACTCAGCAATTTTAATAAGTTAACTATATAGTTTGATATATAATTATTTAAAAATTGTCCATTTTTTTCTGATAAATGCACCCTGTATATGCGTTTTTAGAATTTTTACACACATAATTTTTAGAGAAGTCCAAAAAGAGAAGAGTGGTTGGAGAAGATCCTCTCCCTGATGCTCTTGCTACTTATAAAGCTTGTTATGACAGTCTCAAACCTGACACAAAAACAGGTATTTAAACATCTGCATCAGGGGCCGGTTGTATAAGACTCTTAACTACATTTTAGTTAAATCTTCGTTAACTAGAAAATACATTATTCTGATTGGCCAATTCTGCCACTAACTATATTTGAAAGTTAACTACCTTTTTATACAACCGGGCCCAGTGCATTGCTTTTTCACTAAATGTAAATGTTTTGAATCCCGTAATCGAGGATTCGTGCATTATTGGCCAACTTTGGCAATACTGATTTTTTAATATTATAAATATATGTATGTTCTTACTTCATCTGTCACTTAAGCACTAGCTATCGTGTATATTTATTGGTTTTGCAGCTTTCGAAAATAATGCAACGCAAACATTTGACCCCAATGTGGTACGATCCTCAGATTACCAGCAACCTGAACGTGTCAAGAAAGCTGGTGGTAAGCAATAACATAAGCCGTAAACCCAAGACCCGCGCTCAACTTTGGAACATGCTGAGTCAGCAAAAAACTTATAATTTGCATAAACGATTTTGGTAATGCCCCCCCCATCTCATTGGCATAAATGATTGACAGGTATCAATAAAAAATCGATGAGTTCGCAATCTTGAAAATTGATTTATGCAAATGATTGCATAAATGATTGACAGTTATCAACTAATAAAAAATTGCTGACTTCGCAATCTTGGAAATGCGCTCCTTATCTCATTTGCATAAATGATTGCCAGGCGTCAATTCAAAATTGATGACGTCTTCAATTTCAAAAAAAACGTTAACTCAGCAATTTAAAAAATACGCCAGAACCGTCCTGTTCTATTTTATATTTACTAAGCTCAAAAAACGGGAGAGGGGTTTGTCAAAACCTCATTTTGAGTGACTTTTTCAAGCATGAATGACTTGTTAAAAATGAATTTTGATTTTTTGGAATGAAGGTTTAGGTTTTTGTTTACAAAATATGGAAATTTCAGAATTTGATGAAAAATAAGTTCGCGACACGGACGCGTAAACTTGGGTTATTTTTTGTCTCAACTCATAGCTTACGCGACTTTTTAAATGCTTGAATAATATGATGTATGAATGATTGCTTGGGTGACACGCTAACAATGGTCCTTCGCGCAAGCTGTCAGTTGAGACAAAAAATAAGCTAAGTTTACGCGTCAGATAACTATATAGTTTAATATATATTTAAAAATTGTCTACTTTTTTCTGATCAAATGCACCCTGTGTATGCGTTTTTAGAATTTTTACATACATAATTTTTAGAAATGTCCGAAGAGAGAAGTGTGGTTGAAGCAGATCCTCTCCCAGATGCTCTTGCTACTCAGAAAGCTTGTTATGACAGTTTCGAATCTGCCACAAATACAGGTATTTAAACATGTGCATCAGGGGTCGGTTGTATAAAACACTTAGCTACATTTTAATTAGTTAAATCGTCGTTAACTACAAAATACATTATTCTCTTTCGCCAATTTTGCCACTAACTATATTTGAAAGTTAACTACCTTTTTATACAACCGGCCCCAGTGCATTGCTTCTTCACTAAATGTAAATGTTTTAAATCCCGTATTCGAGGATTCGTTGACTGTAAAACAAAGTATGCCAAAACATTTGGTGTGTTATTGGCTGACTTTGGTTATCAGCAATACTGATTTTTTCATGTTTATAAATAAATGTATGTTTTACTGCATCTGTCTCTTAAGCACTTGCTATCGTGTAAATTTATTGGTTTTGCAGATTTCGAAAGTAATGCAACGCAACAAAGTAGACCATTTGACCCCAAGGTAGTACGATCCTCAGATTACCAGCAACTTGAACGTTTCAAGAAAGCCGGTAAGCAATAACATCAAAAATTCATAACTCAAATTGATGAAAAATTGCTATACCTTTTTTTTCTTTCCTACCTACTTAGAAAAATGTCGATTGCATTCCTCCAAAGAGGAAGTTGATCGAGAAACGGAGAAAAGAAACATTGACATTATGCAAGCAATATATTTAGACGATGCTCCAGCTTTAAAGAGACTTGTGGGTAGGTAGAAGTCACTAAGCTATACAATAATTCCTGAAGAAGTGCTTCATGGAAATTGCAGCATGTATACCGCGAGCCAAATTATGTCAACTGTGTCATTCTCCCTATAGTACTTTTGATGAAAATATTTCAGCAACTAACCATTATATATACTTGCAATATGATTTTGGCATGGCATCGTCTTTAAACAACTTGGCATCAAATGTGGTATAACCACTTGGCTAAAATAGACAAAACACTTCTCGACGTTTCGACCTGCAGGAGGGCCTTTGTCAGAAGAGTTAGTATGAAAATAAATAGGGGAGAATACATGTTTTGTATGGGGGAAAAACACGTGATAAAAATGGGCTAATAGAAAACAAAAAATCAAAACAAATTGGAATACATTACATTGCCAAAGAGACGTCTGATTGTAGGCTAAGAATAGCCCGCACTGAGGGAAGCCAGATCAGCAACGAAAACGTATTACAACCAATTATAACCTGCTTTGATGTAAACAAAGAAATGGGAGTCATATTACTATGGGTGCATGAAGTAGCTTAAATGAAAGAGAGTCTTTCATTTTTGCCAGAGGGATAGAGAGTGCCAAGACTGTGGATGAGTCATATTTCTGTTCGTTTACGGTTATCGTTAGTAGTACCGAATAATATCATATATATATATATATATATTAATATATATATATATATATATATATATATATATATATATATATATATATATATATACATATATACTTAGCATAGCAAGTATAGTAAGTTAACATATAACTTTTTATGTGTAAAGCGTTAATGAAAGACAACCTAAGAACAGAATCCAAACTATCAAGAGATGCACATTATTCAATACCCGAGCGGTGATTTCGCGCAAAAGAATTGTGTTCATTTTCACTTTTTCATTTAGACCCAGCGTTAAGTAGCAAAGAGATTCAACTTCGTATCCTTGAAGCGATCGAGGTAAACAGTTTGATGTGCTTGGACGTACTTTGTGAAGCATACCAAAATCAGCAAACCCCCAGTAAAAAAAAAGGTGAACTGTTTCATCGCCGGTGCGGCCTTTCTTTCTGGCCAATAGACGAGCGTCCTAAAGTGACAGCTTTACACGTCCTTGCTAGCAGGGTTAAATCAGCGAAGGCGTTGGATGTTTTAGTGAAGCGACCGGAATTTTTCCAAGATTTTGCTGACATGCAAGACAGTCATGGATCAACGCCGCTTCTGCTGGCAATCAAATGCAACAATATGGATGTCGTAAGACGACTGCTCACAACAAAACCCGACGTAAACAAAAAAAATCGATATGATGAGACGCCCATTCTTATTGCAGCTTTAAAGGATAACGCTGATGCAATTCAAGAAATTATTAATACGTGTATGTGTAGAAATCCATTTTATCATACAAGGCTAGCCTGTCGGGTAGTGAAATGACACAAAATTAATATTAATTTTTAGTTATTAACATATTTTATTATATGGCAAGCGTCACTTCCGGTGAAATGGAGCTCAGTGATTGGCTGAGAAGAATTTTCAGTGGTCCATTACTTTCCCCTATTTGACCGGCACTTTCCCGCAATGGACCGGCGTTACCGGCGATCCATTACGAGATGAAAAACAGAGAAATTCTGAATGAAAAAGGCTCAAATAAATGCTCAAGAGAAAATATAATTGCACTTGAAATTAAAAAGGCGTCTCCAGAAAGTTAGGTAAACTAAATAATTCAATATTCTGTTTTTGTTTTTGTCAAATGCGTACCAGGCTACTAATACGCATTCATGAATTTCTTGTTTGTTTCAAGTGCAAATACTTGCCTTATGCCATTTATTAGCCTCGCTTGCTCGGTCTTTACCGAGAAATATCGGACCTAATTCCGAGACGGTACTAATCCGCTCAGATATTTACACCTACAAACTGCAAATGTGGCGAAATAAAGTCGTCCTCAAGTCACGTAACGTAACCCGAAATGGATGCATAATTGTCATTTTGCAAATGAAAATTATTCAGTAAAGCTCATCCTTACCGCGAAGCAAATTACACCGCTTTGTCTTTGACTGTATCCGGCATGTTCTTTTTTGCTATCTGTCATGCTTCATCTTGTTTCTTCTCACAAATATTTCCATTATATGATACTTCTTTTCTCACATGTACCACCCCTTTTTTTTTCCACATAAACTATCATGTTACCATCCCTATGCTTACCTAATTTCGTTTAACCGAGGCGAGGGGTTTCTGCATGCATGTATTTCTAGTAATTTACTTACTGTACTTAGTTACTCGACTGTACGGTAAAATATTTAACCTCAGACTTGGTGAAATATCACACCTTGGAGTCAGAGTCCTCGGTTCAATATTTTATCGTATACAGACCTAAGACCTCGCGCTCATGCAGTAGCTAGGTAGTTAGTATTCATCTCTGAATACATATTGACTAAGAATGCACCGCTATTTTACGATGGTTAACACTAATAAATTGTAAGTCACGGTTGCAAATAGATTTACAAAGCTGAAAGTACGAAAATGTCTTTTTTAGATAATGGGCCTGAGGAAAAAACAAATCTTGAAGAAATTATGAGGAATATCGATGGTAAAGGTCATTCAATCCTTTACCCTGCCCCTCAAAGTGGAACCCAAGAGGTACTAAACCTTATTTTGGAACGTGATTGGTGGCAGGACTTTTTGGAACAAGAGAAGAATAAAGAAGAGGATTGGCACACTTTCATTTGTAACATAAGTGCAAGCGGGTGCATAAATCTACTTCAGCAGGACAAGATTAAAAATGAACTTCTCGATGTTCACCATGAAAAAACGCGAAAAAGTGATGTTACCCCGCTTATGAGGTATACATGCATTTAAAGTTTTCTGACACAAAATGGGATTTTTACATGGTGGAAAGTACTCAGGTATCTGAGCATTTCGCTGAATGAATTTTTCGATTTCATTACATTTAATAGTAATAAAGAAACTGCAACGAGGGTCATTTTTATCGATGTTTCTATATATTCTGCATAAGAACTGATTTATTTGTTAATGTCAATTCTTGAGAGTTTTATGGCGCTACACATGGCGTAGGAAACCTGTGTGCACATTATAAGAGATATCGTAGCCAGGAATATAGAAAACTATATATTTTATGTCAAGATAATGCCCGTACGTAAATAACACGAATATGGATGTTCAGTTACGCATTTCAAATTCGCGTCTTGGTCGCATACAAGTGATTGCGTACATTTATCTATCCCGCAGAAGTATAAGCAGACATTTGTTTTAGTAAGGAGATCGATCGATTCCACACTTAAACCAATAAGGACAAAAGTGAACTCATCGCGGTCAAAGCAAATATATTAAAAATTGGCATGTTACGCGTCAGGTAACTAGGTCGCATTTGGGATGTCTTCGCTATTACTCGTCTACCGAGATTTAAAACATACGCAGTTTGTTATGGGTTCATTCTGTGTCTTTTCATAGGTTTCTGTCTATTCTTCCTCAGCTGGAGGCTATTCACAATAGCATCTTCTCTTTTAACGATGACTTGTAAAATTTAAACCTAATCCTGATATCAGTGTCACCAAACAAATAGCTAGTATGAGAATTGTATCTTGCGGTCGAAAAGACTTGAAACACTGTGTATTTAAAAAAGCATACAACCGCGTAGGCAAGACACTGTAAATTTAGAGCGACTCACTTGCGTGATGGCACGTAAATCGCTAGTCCCAGTGCCATTCATACAGTTTTAAAATCATGTTTTCGTTTTTATGAAATCGAAAAATTTTTTATCTGATTTTATTTTCAAATGGTAAGCTGCACCTCGTTGGATCAATCTACACCGGCGAGTTTAATTTAAATAATTTAGATAGCCAATGCGTAAATCACACAGATACACTAACAGGCTACTCTTCAAATTTTTTAGGGCTGCCGAAGCAGATCAAGAAGAAGTCGTTAAACTAATTTTGTCAATTTTGCAGTCATCTGGTAATGATGCCCTTGCCGTTTGTGATAGTAAGGGTAGGAATGTTTTCCATTATGCTGTGGGGAATCCAAATGTCCTCCGTTATCTTTGTGAAGTAAGATTTCAATTTAACTATACATATAGTAACGTGACATGAATTATGCAACGCTTTAACGCAATTCTATTTACAGTGAACCATCGTGCGCGTAGAATGATAAATCATAATGTGATAGAGAACGGCGGATATTGTTTCTGCCTAAACATACGATGTATTATACACTTAATGTATGCTCCCGAGGGAAATAGTGAGTTTTGTTTTCCCAAGAGTCTGAATGTTTCTCGAGACGAAGTCGAGGGAAACATTGAGACTCGAGGGAAAACAAAACTCACTATTTCCCGAGGTAGTGTACATTAAGTGTTTTGTTATATAGGAACGAAAACATACATGTTCCACAACAATTTCATTAAAAAAACCACTTTACTTTGTTATGACAAGAAGCGGGCAACAATTTTTCACTTGTTTCCCTGGCGGGAAACATTGCATTTATTTAAAGTCAAACAAGACATAGCAAAATGTAAAATTTATTGGCGAACGTTTTGCAGCATTGTTCATGACATCTTGAGAGCAATTAAACATTAAATATTAATTTACAAGGATGGGTTCTATATCCGGGGGGGGGGGGAGTACGCCCGCATTAAATGTATCAGCTTCGCTTGTTAGGAATTATATGAGAAGCAGTGAACGCTATACAACTGGAACGATAACTCCCGACAAACATCCCTATTCAGCTTGAAGCCAAAATGGTTTTTTCTGAGTTTTGAGACGAAATACTTGACGCCAGACGTTGGGCTGTGTGTCAAATTAAAGCTATTGAAAAGTTATATTTGGTGTAGAAATTTCAAGACTTAAACTACAAAGGAAATATATAAAAAAACAAAAACAATTACCGACCGGTGAAAAACCGGGAAATTTTCAAATATTTTTTAGATATTTCCTTTTAAGCTAAAGTCTTGAAATTTCAACACGAGATATAACTTTTTAATAGCTTTAATTTCATATAAGGCTCAACATTTGGCGTCAAGTATTTCAGCTCAAAACTCAGAAAAAGTAAAAAGCACTGGCTTCCATTTCCCCCCCTGATCCAAAGTTTCTAACATTGTAATGCAAAACACCATTCCCAAAAAGTCAAAACTATTTTATTAAGTTTAACACTTTCTTTCTTTGTTTTTGCGCTAGATGAGCCAAGATAAGAAAGCTATTAATCATATGGACAATTCAGGGAAGACTCCAATGAAGCTCGCTGCTGTTAAAGAACTGACTGAGGTATGTAATATCTCATATATGGCTACAGAAATATTGCACAGGGTCTTACCAGGGACGGATTCTGACTGATGCGACTGATGCGAATACAAGAACAAAAAATTAAATACGAAATTTGCAATAAATAAGGCCAGCTTTCCTCCTTACTCAATCAGGTTAACTGGTCAGTGGAATTGTAAGTAGTGAAGTTCAAATATACCCGAATTCTGTACCCAGGTTGGGTCGAATATAACGGTATATGGTATCATTGATCTTCGTACGGTCCAACTGATATATGGGGATTTAATTTTTTCGTATGCTATCAGTTCGAAATTAGTAGCGCCAAATATCCCTGAATATGGTATATTTGACTTTGGTTAGACCCTTCTAGGGGTGCTGCAGCATAGTTCAAAGTTTTGCAAGTGCATTCCGATTGTGGAGGTGTTTTTCAACAATTTATTCACGATGTCTTGGTGGATCTTGAAAATCATCATTCGTAAATTGACCTAATTTTATCTCTGAAAATGAAAACGAAAGCACCAGGATTGGATGGAAACTTTTATGACTAAAATGCTCACAACCTAAAATTATCACGAGACAGAAGCCAGTACAAGCACGCATAGCAGCACAGAAAGTCTTGGGGCCCTTGGGTAGTTTAAATGGCGTTCCCAAGGTATATTTTTGAGGGCGAATAAAGCAATTCCAGAGGATTTATAGGGGCACACCCCCAGAAATATTTTGAGGCTTAGGGTACAGCAAATGTAATTTCCTTTGTTTTGACCATAAGGATTTTTCAAAATAATATATAATATCGTATATTGCATTATACCTAAACTATGTAGAAACAAAAATGATCTCTTAACTGGAAGAGGACTATGGACTCCGTGTAAAAATATTTGTGGGTGTATATAAATCATAATCATTAGAATTGTAGCACGTTTATGGGGCATTATGAAAAATAACAGTAAATCGATCACTGGTCAGTCTAAAGATCATTTTGTCCCGCTATGTAAATTTCAAGTTTCACGGAGTCCGAGACAACGGGGGCATCAGGGGAGCCTGTGCCCTTTACGACTTTCAAGAAGCTGATTGGTCAATACTAGTTTTCCTTAGCAACATGGTAGCAAAGAAACCAGCAATGAACGTTGAGTATTATTTATCATTGTTGTTTAAAAAGTCGCTTTTGAGCATTTCCTTCGATGTTTTCTACTTGTTAGCGGACGTTTTATTGAAGCCAGAACAAAGTGTTATATTTCCGATGTTTATTGCAGAAAAAATAGTGAAACTGAAATTATTTGAATAATATAAGTGGTATCCTCTTTCGTTCTTGACTAAGCTAAAAGTACGCAAATAAAACAATTTATTGTTCACCAAAATTAAAAATCGCGATCGTTCAAAAACGTCGCAAAATGACCCAAATGTGACTAATAAACATATTAATAATATACATGAAAATGTTTCTCGACTGTGATTGGTCGATTTCAGTGCAATTAATCCCGAACAACAGTGCAAAAATCTGTAACAACAGTGCAAAAATCTGTAACAACAGTGCAAAAATTTGTAACAGACCAATCTGATTGGCTGTCACAAATATATCAGCCAATCAAATTTGAGCTACGTTTTGGCGGGAAAAATATAATGCTTGCCCCAAACAAAACAAACCAAGATGGCGACGGAAATCAAGCACGGAAATTTGGATTTTCGCGACTTTTTAACGTTAAAACAATGGTTTCACAACAAAATATTTAAGAAATATAACGTCGCTAAAGGAAATATTCAATATAAGGGAAAGATCGATCAACAAAATGTACATGGGGACAAGAAATACAAGAAATACTCGTGTACTAAGTGTGTTTGTCTCGAACATTTTCATGTATATCATTAACAAGTAATAGTATGGTTTCTCGTGCAATTTGGAAAAAAGCATACACTCGTGAGTTTTCCAAAGACCCAAAATATTTGAATCTTTGAAAAACTCACTCGTGCATGTTTTTTCCAAATTGCACTCGAAACCATACTATTACCTATACATGAATTATACTGAATTTCCATTGGCGGTTCTGTTGCTACCCCGTTGCTAAAGAAAACCAAGATTGACCAATCAGCTACGATTTTGAGTGAAGGCCGTATATGACAATGCATTCACCATTTTATTTTACTTGAATACGTCCTCTTCGCATTAAAACTATAATATTATTGAAAATGTGTTCTCCCGTGGATCTGCACGCCCGCATGTTGCTAAAATAAAATCAATGTGCCCTTTTTTCTGGTATCCAAAAAGCGCACTTATTGAGTGAAACATAAAAGTTCTGTTATTACTAATCTATGTTGAAGTCCTTTCTTAATCAACAAAAAGTTTCAGTGGTTAGAACACTGAAAATCAAGCTCTTAATTAACTGAAAATACCGTCATGGAGTTAGGAAGTAGTTGACAGTGTTTAATAAAAAGTACATTAGTAAAATTACCTACTCTGCTGATTCTGTAAACAAAAAATATTAATCACATTTCTATTTTTGAATTAGAGTTTCGAATTACTTTCCAAATATGCTAAAAGTGAAGAAGACATGTTTGCTGCCCATATCATCCACTATGTGAAGATCGAGGTAACTAATCAACAGTACAACTGCTACATGCTAATGTCTTTCACTTCCATCTCCTCAAAATATATACAGTAGAAGGCAAAAGTTTGAGTCCAGTGACTGTATTTCATTCTTTTAGCAGCATATATTAATTTTCTACAGAAAACCTTACCGAAAAGTGAACTAGAAAAAAGTAAATAAGTGAACTGAAAAATACATGCTGCACAACAACTATGGGATGTTGTGATATTCATTTAACGTATGTTAATGTGCAAAAATGCATTACATGTCAATGCAATTCTGGCTGGCATAGATTCCATAGGTTTTTTAATGTCGCACGTTCAATACTTTGCCAGCATTCGTCGACCACTTGCCTCAAGTCATCCTGGCTGGTGGGTCTGTGCCTCGCCCTTTTCCGTTTAAAACGGTCCTACAAATTTCGAGAATCAATAAATTTGGGCGAAGTTCAGCCAAAAATTCGGGCAAACTGAAAAAGAGTTACATAGCTAAAATTTTTCAAACCAAATTTTGTAATATATATCACATATTTGTATTATATTTCGCCATTTTTGTTACACTTTCTCGAAAGCACATCGACTGCTTTGCCAAGTCTATTGCTACAAATTTGGTAAAAGTTATAATTCGGGCACATTGTATAATTAAAAAATTTGGGCGATTTTTTTTTGTCCCCTCCCCCTAAGCAAAGTTGCGCCCGTACGCCTATGACTATGCTATGGTCGCAAGCACGACTACACTTTAAGTATGCTACAAAAACTTTATACTTAGGCTTAAATTAAAGAAACAGGTGACCAAAGTCCATGCAAGATGCAGCTGATCAGTACTGAGTAAAAGAATGCGATTTCAACTATATAAGAGTCATATTTGCTTAGTTATAGTATTTACTTTGTAGGGAAGTTTGTAGATAGTTTGTGTTTACCGCAAAATTATTGTAAAATAATCTTTTCATTTGTTGTTCGATTTCCGTTACTTCCTGCTGACCTGAAGACCCCCCCATTTTGACTCCCAAAATAAGACAGACAGTCAGAAAATGGCTGTAACCACTTTCTTACTATAGTAGCTATACGCATCTTTTCGCATGATATACGTTCCTCAATATCGATATAGATTCTTGAGAACGTTCTGCGTAGCTGGAAAAGAAAGGATCCCGCAGCTGCATCGCGTCTGCTGAATGGTGATCATGACGAACATCAGCCGTTCTTGGAGGCCGCTAAACGCGGTAACGTCAAACTGATGAAGTTCTTATTGAAACAAGGAGCAAATCATTTGCAAAGAACGTAAGTTTAGATTAGTTTTCTCGTACACTTCCGGAAATATTTAGTCTATATTTTCTGAGTGCTGTAGAAAATTTTAGTTTCCAAAAGTTTTTTATGAACTATGCAAAATAGAATGCGAAAAATAACGATAAGAAAACATGGAATGATCCATATGAGGAACGAGGAATGATTCATAATTTGCATAGGCCTGTATTGATAAAAAAGATGGAATGTTGACATAATGTAGTTTTTATCAGTTGTTTTAGCTATAGCTGGTTCTTTTTAAAGCCGTTCGAATATTTTCTGCACATATGTAGCCCAACTTGCGTCATATTCAAACATTCATTGCATTCACAAGGTGTCCTTTATAGTTTATACTTTTTTGTCAGCTAGCCATGTGCATGGTGTTATAGTCGGTTTGCCTGTGTAAAGGGATTTACATAATGTGCATTGCTTTTAACAGTTCAACTGATAAAACCGCGATTCACTGTGCCGCACAATTTGGAAAGCGTGAACCTGTGAAATACTTGATAAATCAAGAAAAGTTCCGGGAAATGATAGATTTTACAGATGATGTGAACGTTACTGCTGCTGGTTATGCCACACAGGCTGGTCATTCTGATGTTCTAAGATATCTTTTGGACGAGAACGCGCAAATGAAAGGAGACAAAAAGACAGGCAGGCTCAATATCCTGGACTCCGCGTACGGTTATTTTAAGACTGCCAGGGAATCTATGAAAGAAATAATTAAATTTTGCACAAAGGATAAAGGGTCAAAAATGCTTCAGGAGGTAAAAATGTACCGGCTATATATTAGGTGGTACTCTCCCATATTTTGTTTATAGGTCCCTTTTAGGCTGAAAAATGAATTTGTGGAAATGAATTGAAATGGAGATGTACGGTCATTATACTGCATGTCTTTTCAGTATAGTTGCAGGAATGTAGTGTAGTCTACATGTAGTTTGTTGTGAGCAGAAGATATACGCCAATAAACTGAGTAAAACTAGGATGAGATCTAGACAAAAGCGAGAACAAGCATGCATGCAGATTAAAAATATTTAATATCCGCGAAGTTAAGGACCGGGTTTATAAGGGCTCCAATCCCCCAGAAAAACGTGCCACAGAAGTAATGCAATTTAATGTATTTGTGTCATGATAACTTAATTGGATTAACTGTATTATAACTATGTTACTTTTCAAGGAATATAGCACTTAGCGGGGTTAGGGACGTACTCCTCCAGAAAAACTAGCAAGCTCGGCAGATAACTGAGGAATTAGAGATGCTCTTTTTCAGTTGTTCGAAGACTCGCATTTCGGTGCGGATAATATTATGGCGAAGCTGATTGAAGAAACACCCGAAGTCGCCATCATGATATTTGATTTTTGTGTTTCTCAAGAAGAAATATATGATTATCGTTCGTATTGTGAGACAGAAATGAAGAGAAAAGTCGTCTATTTGCTCTTTCCATTCAAACGAAAGAACGGTAAATATATTAGGTGATATATGTGTCCATTTGTTAAAGAAATTCGCAGCATGTGGAATAAATGTTAAATTGGTTTCTATATTTGAGATGGTGGGAAGGCTGCTGGAAAACTTGCAGCTGTTGAAAGCATGGTGAACAGCAAAAGAGATAATTGCCTAGGACATCCACTGGTGACATGTTTTTTAAACGAGAAATTGAAGTTTAAAATACGAATATGGCTGTATTTGAATTTTCTTGTTTATCTCATTTTCCTGGGTGCGTTAACAACATATGGCGTGATTCAAAGTCAAGGTAATGAGGGAATTATCCTTATAAAGATACTTTAAAAATAATATGGTTGTGATAATATATATAGCTAGCTGCTTTTTATATTATACTCAATATACTCTTATCTAGAAACTTGCGATCTCAAATCACCTGGAATGATCACATTTTCAGTGATTACTTCACTTTTATGTCTTTTTCATCTTTGTAAAGAAATGTTTCAGGTATGTATCCAGAATTTCGCAAAGTTCGTGATAATGTTATGTGTGCGAAAATATAATTAATATAAATTTACGATGGGTTTCCAGGGAAGCCAGGCACGTACGAACTGTTCGGACTCATTTTTTTGCATTTCACACACTTCTCAATATAACAATTTGCAGTAGCTATTTATTTCAGCTATTATTATACAAAGGGATTCTTTAGAAGTAGTATAGACCAATATCTGGATTTTTTGAAAGTAATCGGCGATTCATGTTGTTGTTGACTTGATGTAATGTCATTTTTCTCTCCATCAAATGAAGCGATTTACTTTTGACCGAAGTGACATAATTAGGGACTCTACGCACAGCGAATAGGTTAGAATAGCAACTGTTTATGACCGAGTTATCTTGTGGAACAGCTCCAGATGCCTGAGCCAGTTTGTCCAACGACGGTGTCGAAAAACCTGATTTCAGTACACATGTCTGTGTTTATTTATTTGCTGACCGTGGGCGGCGAGTGATGCGCACTGGAATGCTTTGAAATTGTTGACTTTGATTGTGTTTCTGTGCAATCAATATCGTCGCTATTTTTACGGTCCACAAGGGATGAGGGAATCTCAGTGTTTGCCAGAGCTTGCAATGCATCAACACTGCTTTTCAAAATTTCTGTATCTAGATTCATGTCTTCAATAGTCTGGTTTAAACCACCATCACTCGAACTTGTAGGTTAAAATCGTTCGACGAAAGACAGTCGTCTGACACATTCAACATTTTGCAACCAAACATTGCATTTTCACTATGCTCATTTCTAGCCTAATGTAATAACATTAAGGTCCTCTGTTTTGTATAGATGAAGCTGACGAAGATGCATTATTTTCGTAATTTCGAAAATTGGATTGAATTGACATTGTATATTTGCACTGTAATCTATGTGATGCCTATAGGAAGTACGAAGTCATATGGACAGGTTGCAGCTGGAGCTGTCTCTGTGTTTTTTGCTTGGATCAACTTCTCCTTGATAATGAAAAGATTTTTATTATTTGGGATCTACATCATCATGGCTAAAAGGGTTTTTCTTACCGTCTGCAAGGTTTGTGATCTGCACGATTTTGCTAACGTAAAAGGTATTCTCTCAATCCTGTCATCACACATGTGAATCACAAGGAAAAAAAACAACGACGGCATCATCAACAAAGTAAAAAAAAATTCAAATGAAGTTCACGGCTAAACTAGTATAATACCTGATCCTAGCTGAGTCTGAGGTTTCACATTCGTGATGAAAGGAGTGATCACAATCGCCTGTCCCTTAAAAACATAAAGCATACAAACTATACCGCGGTAGCCTTGGGGAGGAATTGGTAATACCTGAGAGACTGCTGCATGCATTTTAAAATCTGATTTACTTGCCCCAGTTTTGATATATGATAAAAACATGAAGGGTATTTTTCGAACAATTTCTTCATTTCTTCACTACTGCTTTTTTTTGGTTTTAAAAACAGGTGGGAAATATGTGTGCGTTAGTCGGTAATTTGTGGGTACATTGGTCTGTGCTATGGCAAATCGTATCTTGCATAAAATTTTTATCTATATACAGGTATTACCATTGGTGCTTTTAGTCGTCTTTGCGTTTTCGTTATCCTTTCTGCTCCTCATGTCTGAAGATCAAGGTTTTCGCAACATTGGTTTGTCAATTTTGACCACGTTTGTCATGATGTCTGGCGAAATAGATTACCGAGACACTTTTCTGACTGGTGGAAAAGTTCACGCTTTGCAGAAAATATTGCTCTTTCTGTTTATAATCATGATTTCGATCGCTATCATGAATTTACTCACTGGTCTTGCAATTGGCGATACAAATGAGATAATGAGACGATCAAAAGAAGAAAAAATACTTCATAAGGTAATACTATACTTTTACACATGACACGGGGACTGGACAACAACCTGAGTATCACAAACATCTAATATGCTGTTGGAGAAATGGCTGGTTGGAAAGATAGATCCCGTAGTCTGAGGGCTGAAAAATATTTCCCGTGTGTATATATTAGTAATAGTTATCGTCATTCGTCATGCCCAGCGACGCCAGAACAGGGGGACAATCATGCAACAGGGGCTATAGGCGTGCAACGACGCATGAAGGATTACATTCTATTTCTTAAGTAGAAGTGCCACCAACGAGCATCGAGATTCGCACAATCGTCTGAAAGAGAAAAGACGACGATACGAAGTCATGCGTCCCTGGTCATGCCATTTACTCTTCCTCAATTTAGCTGTTAGTAACTGATCGGGGCCATTTAACATAGATTATTGAGGCCGGTCTAGGAAACTACAAAATGCCAGTAATATTAATACAGAATCCGTAGGATTTACTATTAACTTTCGTAGTACTGCATGGATACGATAAAACAATCGTGGGGTATTACGTTTTTAAATGCGTTTGTTGAATCTTAAATTAGGCGGAGCTTGTCCTAGCACAGGAAAAGAATTCCCACCAGTTTGCATACTTAGGCTTAGCACAGTGTGACTCAGAGGACGAAATCATAACAGAATATTCTGATGAGGAAATGTCAAGTTCCTGGACTTTACAGCAATGGCGAAAGGTAAACGCTCTTTTTATTTATTTATTTGTTCATTAATTTATTATGCTTTGTGTAATCCTCTTAATATGTCTACTAAACTCGATTACAGTTTTGGACTAATTTTACATATTTTTGCATTAAATTACTATACTTGTGTCCATATTCATACTCTTAATCTTTCTTTATGCCCGGCCTAACTCTCGACAACGTAATGTTTCGACAATTTTCAAGACTTTAATTATCGGGTATTACGGTATATTTTGTGGGCTAAAAGTAACAATTGTCAGGACAAAAATACATTTTAGCCTGGTTGCTGGTGAGTGGAGTAGATGCACCTTAACAGGGATTCCATGAACATGAAGATACCACTTCATACTTTACATGCTACATAAGAAGATACCACTTCATTGGAAACCGAATCAGTCTTAATTTCCTTGGGTATTTCTGCTATCCGCCAAAACTTACAATGATTGGCAAAAAATACCCATGGTTTACAGTTAGAAAAACGCCTACGCCTAGAATCACAATAACAATATGACAAAAATAAAAATAAAACACGAGTGACAGTTCCCTACATGTGGTTATATAATTACATAAACTGTTCTATTTCTTCAATAGAAGCTGGTATGGATGAAGTGGATGCTTGGTATTATTGTCAGCATTAGTGGTAATTGCAGTGTGCCACGATTCTAGATTAGTTCTATGCCGATATTTTGCTTTATCAATGATTTGACTGTTGCTAAAGTCAATTTTATGAAGAAGAACGTGAACATGTCATTCAAGCCTTGATGTCGAATGGATATCCACGAAACGAATACAAGACCCTATCATCAGAAGATCTTGTTCGTGAGTTCCTCGAAAGAGTTGAACCACACAGTAATGTTGACTACGCTGTTCTACACTTCTAGCATATGTTAAAGGGTTAACAGAACCACTCAAACGCCTTCTAAAGCCCCATGGAATTCGAGTCACAACCAAACCGCTACGCACGCTTGAACAAGTGTTTCCCTCACCGAAAGACAGACCACCGACAGAAAAACCGACAAATTTAATAACCGCATAAATTGCGCTGATTGTTCGTGGAGCTACATCGGCGATACAAGGCGAGCATTCAGCACAAGCAAAGAAAGAGCACATGAGGAATGTTGAGTATCATAGATCAGGTTCAAACATCGCTAATCATGCTTGGTCTTACGACCATAAAATTGACTTTAGCAACAGCTAAATCATTGATAAAGCAAATCTTCGGCATAGAACAACGCTAGAATCGTGGCACGCCGCAATTACGACTAATGCTGACAATAATGCCAAGCATCCACCCCATCAATTCCAGCTTCTATTGAAGAAATAGAACAGTTTATGTAATTATATAGCCACATGTAGGCGAACTGTCACTCGTGTTTTATTTTTATTTTTGTCATATTGTTATTGTGATTCTAGGCGTAGGCGTTTTTGTAACTGTAAACCATATTTTCGCCAATCATTGTAATTTTTAACTGCCCGTTGAAGGCTGCAGACTGGTAGCCGAAAGCTTGAATTAATAAATATTCACAACCAGAGAACGTCTCAAGGCCTATCAAGCCAAACTGCGTCTCTTGCCACCGAAATTGAATTCTAAAGACTTTTTCACTGTCCCTCTCGTTACACAAATATTTTGTGTCGGATGTGTGAACAGAGCTTGCGCGTACGCCTGTAGAAAACATTAACTTTACTCTACTTTTCTTATACACCTTGCAACAATTGTTGTATGATTTTTCTGTTTGTAAAAGATCAGTATAAATATGTTCAGGAATTTGCAGTAGACATTTACTTGCATGTGAAGGAGGCTAGACAGAAATCAATATATTGATGATTCTATATCTTATATAGGCTTTCGGGGGTGACGAAATTGAGGAACGATTGAAAGCTATAGCAAAAGAAAAAAAGAATGACTATAAGAAATTTGATGAGTTCAAGGAAGAAATGAAGATATTGGGGGAGGAAATGTTCAGTAGAGCGACTGAGAAAATAAGGAAAGAAATTCAAAAACAAATGAAACAATACAAGATGGATTTTCAAAAATAGAGGCAATTATTTCACAAAAAATTTTCGTCCGATTTGTGCGTCAACACGAAAGAAAAGCATGAATTACCGGGCGAATAATATTCCATACACAAGTTTAGTGTTCCATAGTTCACATTCACAACTTAACGACACTAGGGATGCACAACTATGGCAATAAGAATTTACAGTGTGGTTCTGTAACCGCACATTTTGTGTCAGCTAAGAAAAATCTTTAATTTTTGCTTAAAATGATTTGCGAAAAGGCGACATGTTAGAAAAAATGTTTTTGTCTTAGATCACCCCACTCAATTGATACCATACTGACGAGGAGAATGATCTTTATTTTTGTAACTGCTGCAGTGCTGGTGATATATGATTGTGGGTAGATAAAAATGATAGTCAGTAAAATGTTTATAACAATTATATGTATCTATGTTCCCATAAACAGATGTTCTCATTTGGAGCCACTCCACGAATGGTGTTGGTTTTAAACATGAATGGTTGCCTTACAACAACAACAGTAGCTATACTGCTTTACAAATCAACGTACCGAAAAAAACCATTATATTGAAAGCGAATTACGCTGCGCCATAACGCAGTATTATATTATCGCAGTAATCGCCATAACAATTCAAGTGTTCATCAACATTGGTTCGGGGGGGGGGGGGGGGTCGGTTTTATGAGGGATATGTAAATATTTGTCACTGATGATTTATTTTTCTATGCATGTCCCAGCAAATTTGTCTATGGTTGTAGATTTCTATTATAAGCCATTTTCAAGGTTTGTTCGTTTAATTTTTATTAAGCATTATCGTGCAGTTGTTTTAACAGCCCATTAGGTTTGTTCAATAACACGCCAGGCCGGTCAAATTCCATAAGTTTACCCTGATCCAATACCATCACCCTGTCACATTTCAGTATCGTATTCAGTCGATGTGTAATGATGATAACTGTGCAGTCTTTAAACACTTCGCAGATTATTTGTTGAATTTCTTCCTCCGTGCTTTCATCCATCTTTCCTGTCGCTTCGTCTAAGATCACAATTTTATTATTCTGCAGCAAAACTCGTGCGAGATTTAACATCTGTTTTTCGCCGATGCTAAAACCCGTGTCGCCAATGTTTAGTTCTGAATCAAATTTCTCAGGTAGATTTGTGACAACAGAATCGAGTTTAACTTGTTTTAAAACATTCCATATCTCTTCATCTGTGTGCTGGTTTAACGGGTCAAGATTTAGTCGAACTGTTCCTTTCATTAAAGTCGGTGTTTGCGAGATTACTGAAATATGTTTGCGAGTTGAAAGCGTATTGAAATGTTTAATATTCAAGCCATCAATCATAATCTCGCCCCGGGTCTCTGCAAGCCGCATAAGCGCGGCCACTACAGATGATTTTCCCGCCCCAGTCCTTCCAGCTATTCCGACTTTCTCCCTGACGAGTTTATTTTGAACGAAACGTTCTTCAAGGAGTCCACACCACCGATGTGATACGAAAGCGAAACGTCCTTAAACACAACTTCGCCCGCGCGTGGCAAATTTTCGGGAGGCATATCAGGCTCATCGTGCCCGCGCTCAGGCTCAATTCTGGTGTAGGCAAGCACACGTTCCGCTGATGTCATCTGTGAGTTGACGTCACCCGTTACTCTGACAACATAATCAATCATTTGTGTCGTGTTGACGGTATAAAGTATAGTCACTGCACCCAGTGCTGGAAGAAATAAATACGAAATTTCATCTTTAGTTATCTTTTCTTACCAAAACCTTGACCAGTCGACAATATAAAAAAGAACAGCGAAAGGCAAATTTCGCATAAGCAAGAAATCTTGAAAATACAGTGTATATTTATGAAAGACACTGTTGAAATTGAAATTTACGATGACTCATTTCTACGTCATTTTAGACAGAACGACATTTTGATGTTGTAATATATATGCACGGTTATCTTTGCCTAAATTTGTTTTTATCCTTATCTAGTTTATAGATTGAGCTTTTTTACATCGAATGCATATTAACCTACCTGCAGTTAACGCGTCCTTTATTAAGTACACAACCATCACCGTTACAATTGTCGCGAGTGTAACGCAAATGATGCTGAAGACGTTTGCAAACCATCGAATGGCGACATAACTGCAAAGAACTGCCCTGTGGTGCTCGTCGACACGTCTGAAATTACGAAAAATCAACAGTTCAAACACTTAACAAGTTGGCCTCCAAAGCCAACCTCGGTTTCTGTCCACATTTCAGGTTCTTTAAGTGCCGTTCACACTTGCAATTTTTTTCTTTTGATAGATGTGAACGAGCGGGTGAATTATGGATGCTTAGATTAAGGCACCTAAACATCACAGCATTTATAACTATCCACTCGTTAACATCTATCGAAAGAAGAAAATCACATCTAGAGTGGCAGCAAAATTGCAAGTAAACAAGCCCCTAGATTTCGCTGCAATCGTTCTAACTTAAATAAACCAATAGTTTATTTTAACACTACCATAACTAACTTTCTTGTTTTCGGTTCTTTTTGCCAATCTTAAAGTTTCCATCGAAGTCTTAACACGCACCTGAATGCTTCATCTGTAAATTCCTTTTGTCTTCCATAAACTCTTATAGTTCTTAAACCTTCCATGGTGTTTGAGAAATGGGAATAAATAGGACTGCCAGCAATCGACATGAGCCGTTTTATGTCGGTTCCCGATGTGAAATAAACTTTTGAGAAGAAGTAGAAGAGAGGCATTGCTATCAGAACTGGAATGATTAAAAGAGGTGTCGTGATGATAGCTAGCAACAGTGTTGCTATGGTTGGCCCTGCATAGGTACAAACCATGAAGATGTAGAATGGTAAAAGATCGTCGAGGTTGTTGATGTCTTGAGAGAACCGGTTCAAAATTCTTCCGACCGGATTGACGGCATGGAACGATAGTGGTGCGCTCAGGAGACACTTGACCATCTTATTGTGGACCTGGAATGGATGCGATAATGCTTAGACGGCAAACATCGTGAAGAATGGCGAAGCTGAAATACTGGATAAATCATTACAAAGCAATGCAAACTCGATTTGTCAAGTTGGTTTTGGGAAATTGTACTCTAGTAATTAGTACTCTTTTTATAAGCTATCGAAACTCCGTAGTTTTCTATAAGAATACTCTATGACAGTCGAAGCTAGTGTCAAGTTAGTCTTAACTCTTAATAACTAGCTCTCTATCGGTATACAAACTTTGTAGGAAGCGTTCATTAGGACCAGAAAGATAAAAAGTGTTCCCAAAACCACCAACATAACACCAGCGACCAGATAAAGTGTGTAGAGCATTAGTGCATAATTAAAACTCTTCTCGCCATTTTCTGCCAACTTCGGCAAGCGCGAGGCATTAAAGTCCACCAAAACAATCAAACCTGTAAGAAAAATAGATCGAATGTCTTCAAATATAGTCGAATATCTGTTGAAATTATGCAACGAGTTCCACACGCCACTCTTAAAGGCCATTTCCCAATCGAGCAGGGTACTGGGTTTACTCGATAACCGCAAAGCATCCATGGACTCTTTGGAGGGACAAATGATTTCAGACTTATGTTTCCTGTCCCACCAAACAGTCCATAGATGCTTTGCGGTTCGCGACTAGACCCAGTCCCCCGCTCGATTAGGAAAAGGTAAATGTAAATCATTCTTACCTTGACCAGAGAAGAATACCAAAGCGATAACGACCAAGACTGATGCTGACGCACCGAAAAGGGAATACTCTTTGTAAACATTAAACGCCACTCTTCCCGTTTCTCTTTCCTCTTCCTCCGGTTGCAACGTCTGCGCTCCTCCGTGCTCACCAGAGCCTCTCAACGTCACTGTTTTCTCGTCATGCTCTTCGTTCAGTTTTTTCATTTTGGAATCAGGGGATGGAGCGTATGTTTGGGGCGTAAGTTCCTCGACTTTCCCGTTTCTGATGTAAACGATACGATCTGCTTGGTGGTAATATTTGGTGTCGTGTGTTGTGAGAAGAACTATTCGATTAGCCAAAAGTCCACGGATACAATGCCTGTAAGAAATTTATAATTCCCAACAAACTGGCTATAATTCTCAACCAATATAACTTTGTAAAAAAACCTAATAACAGAAAAGAGCTCAGTTTCTATTTAAAAACTGACTTACCGAAAAACATTTTTCGCCACCTTTGCATCCAAGGAGCTCAGCGGGTCATCCAGTAAATATATATCGGCCTGTGAGTATACTGCGCGTGCCAGAGCAATTCGTGTCCGCTGTCCACCGCTCACCGTCGCCCCGTGTTCGCCAATAACAGCTAAATCTTGTTTTGGAAATGATTGCAAATCTTTTTCCAACTGACATGCTCGCAATGTTTCGGTATACGTGTTTTCTTCGTAAGGTAGACCAAATAATATATTCTCACGGATGGTCCCGGGAAATACCCAAGGTGTTTCCGAAACGTAGGCGAGAGATCCCGAGTATCTTACGAAGCCTTTTGTTACTAGAAATTCTCCGCCTAAAATGGTCGCTAATAGTGATGATTTCCCGCTGCCCACCGGACCGCAGACTAATAATAAACTGGGAGTAGCTACCTTAAGCGTGACGTCATTTAATATCGCTGCGCTATTGGCTCCTACAAAATGAGGTGACGCTCGTTGGGGTAATTTTGAGGTTACGTCGTGTAAGCTAAGATATGATGATTCATGGGTTTTGTATGTAACTGGTACTTCACTTTCAAGAGACACTTTCTGTTCCTTTCCAAGAGGACTATTTCTAGTAACTTTGCAAGGATCATTTTTGAAATTTATCTTAGTCGATTCTTTTTTTAGGCCAAAACTCGATTTTAGCAGGTTATTCTTATCTGGTTCAAAATCCAAGTGATCCTTTTGCTGCAGAAATACTTCCATCCGTTTTAAGGCAGTTCTGACGTCGGTAATATAGCGAATTGACGTTGGCAAGCACCAGGCGCGGATCCAGCCGAAAATCTGACCGTGTCATATTGGACTAGAAATTTTCCGGTCGGGGGGGGGGTTGTGGGGGCGTATGGCGAAGGGGCTATGGACCCTCCGAAACAAACATTTTCTGAGCTTTGGTTCTACAATATTCTTCAGGGAACGTTTAAAAGCGAATATTGTAAATCCCTGTACTTTCATAAAACCACAAAACCATTTTCAAAATTTTTGTTAAGGTATTTACGGATATTTCACTCACACTCAACATAACGTGAAATTTGCATACACAAATTATTCACAGCGTAAATGCAAATTTGTATCATAGGGCGCTTTCCATTAAGCGGCCAAAAAGGTCGGACCGGTCATATTTTAAATTGAAATAGAGTATTTCGTTAAGAATATAGCGGTGAAACTGCATTTCCCGTGATAGGCAGATGTAAATAACGATATACTTTTGTCTGTACCGACTACCGAAATACAACAGAACCGGTCTGGCCGTTTTTCCGTATAAAGGAGAGCGCCCATAGTTCGATTTAAAACCTAAAAGTCTTACCTTACAAGGACATTGGGTAAAGATTTTCAGTATTTGTCTCTTGGGAAATAGCAGTTTAAAAATTGTCGTTGCGATTGTAAACGCGAGCGAGCGAAGCCTGTCTTTAGTAATAATTCCATCATGTTGTAGCCTGAAGAGCGATATTTCCCCTGAAATATGCTCGCTTAGATTTGCTTTTAAAAAATTTCGACGGATTCATGTATTAATGCATTCGATTCAGCCTGAATCAGCCAGGATGCAGCGAACAGACCAATTTAACGTGTTATGTATAAACTATATCCGAGTTCGAAGTCGAGAAGTGTCGAACTTTATTGTTTATCATGCTTATTGCGCAATCAAAAACAGGCCACCGTGTCGCACCGTGTCGCACCGTGGCTCACGTGGCAAAAGCTTGCCCTGTGATTGGTTTGCTACACAGCACCGTGTCCGAGCGTTACTATATTTAGTAACAATTGCGCAATAATCTGCACGCTGACCGTGTCAACTAGTTGCTGTGATCGCAGCTTCGAATGCACGACTAGCTTCCGAACATACTCGGCACAATTCGGCAACCTTTCGGCAAATTTTATAGTTCAGTGTTAACTGAACAATCGTAATATGAAACAAGGAATAATAATTGGGAATTTGTTACCACTTTTAGCAGGAATTGGTAATAATATGACAACGATTACGAAAGATATTACTCAAATTATTTGTTTTAGACATATATTTCCTTAATTTTGGTGTGATTCAAAGAATTAATATGTACTTCTAAATAATGTGTGAATATTAGATTGCAGATGGGAAATTCTGGATGGGAAAATCTGACCGTGGCTCGAGCCACGTTCGATACGGTCTAGATCCGCGCCTGAGCACAGACAAATTTTCTCGCTTAGTTCACGAAATAGCACGATCATTGCAAAGAAATTCAGGTACGGAATATCGGCTCTTTTTGTAAGCACCAAAACTAGAACGGTAATGACCGTACCAAGATGTTGTCCACAGGAAATAAACGAGTAGCATGTTAACATCACGATCCACCGCTTGGCTTTGTACTTTATCTCTTGCCTAAAGGAGAAGCGCTTGTAAGATAAAACTCATATTGATCTACATTACTTTATTTGTGTTTGAGCTCTATCCTTGTAAGATATTCTCTTTTAATTTCAAGTATATATCTAAATATCTTATTGATCTAGTGTTACAATAGAGAGAAGATTGAAGCTAAAAAACTTTTCCTGATAGATTTATCAGTTCTTTTCACTAGATAGACTATCAGTTCTTTTCACTGGATAGATCTATCAGTGGATAGATCTTTAGATTTTTCAACGCAAGAGCGCCAATGCCTAATAAAAAACAAAAAATTGAGCTAAACTCGTAACTCATACCATCGAGGCTTCTGTATTTTATCTTCGTATATTGGATCCCAACAGTTTAGTTTCACGGAGGCTATCACGGTCAGTGTTTCCCGGATGACTCCCAAACGTTCGTCCGACAATTGCGAGGCGCTCTTTCGTAGTTTATAGTCGAATTTATTAAGAAGCACACGTGTCACACCGAGAGCCAATAGAAACACAGAACCTGGAATAATTTGCCAACCGATGAAAAACAGCAACCATATTATGATACAAGCGATATCCAGAGAATGTTTGATCGCGTATGGAATAAACCACTCAGCGCTGCAGAATATTATTCGCTGAGAATCATTGCATACTAATTCCATCACATGACCGCTGTCCAGAGATAACTTACTGAGCTGCAGAATCTAAAATAATTAGATGTGAGACGGTTGAGCTCCGCGCATACAAATGGTACAATTTCTGATAAAAGTTTGTTTCACCGTTTGCTTTATCGACCGGAATTTCCGATTCTCCATTGTGAACGGTAACCATGTATTAGGGCTGCTTTCCACTTACGCGTTTTTCATACGCACGTATACACGCACGTAAAAGTCTAAATCCCTATAATTATATATATATATATATATATATATATATATATATATATATATATGTCATATTTAAAAAAGTTAGGTGAGTAAATCGAAAAAACTTAGTTTTCCACAAATTTTAGTATGTATTGTGGAACCATGTGTCAAATAATAAAACTTTTGAAGCATTTAAATTATCCGCGCTTAAAAAAAACGCATAAATGGGGAGCAGCCTTTAGAGTTAAATTTGAAGTAATTATCTGCGATTTATATTAAACTATAAATGTATTCAAATATAACCAGGGAACAGCGTGGCAGAGTCTTCAAACAACTTTGTATCAAATGTGCATGGTATAACAACTGCCTATAATAGACAAAACACTTCTGGACGTTTCGACCTGAGAGCCTTCGTCAGGAAAGTTAGCATACTAACTCTCCTGACGAAGTCACGAAGGGCCTCAGGTCGAAACGTCGAGAAGTGTTTAGTCAGTCTATTTTAGGCAGTTGTTATACCACATTTGATACTAAAAATGCAGATAATGTTAGAGTTTTCTTCAGATGCATCCGATCAACCAGATGTACTTTGCCGCGTTTACGTCCACTCATGTCGAACCTGATTAGGTCGTAGTTTCACACAGCGCCTATGTCATTCTCAGCGGGTGTGACTATTTTTTAAAAGCTATATGTTTTCGTGGAACTTTCAAATCACTTTCCGCCATGTGGTAGGAGCAAAACGCGTTAGGAAATGGGATAACAGGACTTCAAATTAAAGAGTGACATAGAAAAGTAACCTTCGTATCAGAACCATAGCTGTGTTTGTCTCATAAGACTTGCCATCGTAGTTCAACAGTATGCTATCGTCGCTCACCTTTTTATACAGTAAACCTAAGATCGCTGCTCGTGCACGCACGCCTAGGATAGCGCCGTGTAAATGAAAATGATTTTGACCAATCAGCTTCATCAAAGATCCAATCGCTATGCCATAGACGTAAACAAAACATCCAAAACGTGAGGCGTCTCCATGGAAACTGACGAGTTCGCGCAACAGGCTAATCGTCGAAAACCAAGTTATATTGTCGCCCAAGAAGTAGGCCAACCCCGATGGAACAAAATACCAATATTCCTGAAAGGTGAAATATCTAGACATCGCCCTCCAAAGTTTGGGTTCCCGGGCCGAGGTTCGCGCGGATTTGACTTCTTGCCGCCATTTTTCTTCCAGTCGGGAAGTCCGCTGACACGATTTTTCGACGTTCCTGATGGCAAGAAGGTCTTCGTGTGTTAGTGGATCGTGGGTACCCTTCAACAGTAGAGGGAAAATCCACCAAAGTATGACTTTCGAGATAAAATTTGCGTTGTCCTGAGGGTGACGTGTTGAGTGCATCAGGGTCATTTTACATGTTCTAAAACAGTGAAATGTATCCTGTATTAAAGTATAATCAATAATATAATCAAGTAGCTAATGCTTTTTGTATTACAAGGATTGAGGCTTCGTATAAACCCAGCTATGGTTATTAAGGTTACCTAGGTCAATTTTAAAGCCGGTTTAGTAAAGTTATCTATTATATGCGTGTAATTGCAATTCCTGTAGTAAATAACTTAATTCGTCATTGTTTAGGGTATAACATGCATGTTACGCAGAGTAGAGCATCGAGGTTACATTACATCTGATTCAGAAATTCTAGCGGCGAAATTTTCGGGCCAGCTGTAACTCGTTTTTTCACGTATAATTAATGTTCATACTGCTGTTTCTTGTTATTTGTGTTGTAATTCAATCGTTCCGCATGCATACCACCGTTAAATGGATTATAAAATAATGTTTTCACATGTTTCTGTTATACTTTATATGTTGTCCTATGAACCTTTTGGGTTCTTGTGGAATACTAGCTATACTATACACTGACCTACATTCGAGCTTAAAAATGTAAAAATGCTTAAAATCGTTATCGGTAATCGGTATGTTGGCATATGTACATAGAACTACACGGTACACGATAATATATTGCAATGCGTAATGCGTTTTCTCTGCATGTGAGTAATTTTCATATGTATGACACCTTTAAACACAAAAAAATACTTTAGAGAATTACCCATACACCGCTACAGAGGCACCACGTTTCGGATATGTCTGTGTTTAAGGCACAGTAGAACCACGGTGGGTCAGTCGTTGTAAAATTATCTGGACTGGCTAGACACTCGTTGAAAATTCCACATCACTCGATAGTCGTAAAGAGCTATACTGATTACGCCAGACAGCGCACGTATACACTGACAAAATGTTTATTTTCGGCGAGGTGCATGAGGTACACGGAGCGATATGGTGCCAAATTAACAGTAATATCGCAAATCAATGCTAAACAAGTGTTTACTCGTCCTTGACGAGTTAACAAAAATTTGTTAATAAATTTAAATGAACCCTGACCCTGAGTCCCTGACAAAGAATCACGCTTTATTGTTTAACCAAGCGTTTTCTTTGTCAGGATCAGGGTTTCATTTAAACTTATTAATAAATTTTCGTTAACTTGTCAAAGCGGTTGATGTATTAGAACATTGCTATGCGTTGACAGTCTCATCAATGACGATTTAAATCCTGTCTAGGAGAGCAATTTTTATTTAAAAAAGTGGTGTTATGCATAGCTGATTTCACTGATAAACCTGAGGATCTCCTCAAAAACCGGAAAAACAACCTAAAAAACGAATATAATTTTTTTAATGCAAATTTTATTTGTTGCTAACGTGGTTGCTAAGAAGGCATTGATGTAGCCAATAAGCGCTTGGCTTAGCATCCGGGACTTGAATTTGCCCTCCGTTATCGCGGTCTCTTTTTCGACTGATGTTTCCGATACCATGCATGGCCAATGCCTCCTCTAGTGTTATTTATAATCTCTATGGTTATATCAACAGCGTTATACATGCTTAGGAATCAGGCGTAGGAATCAAACCATATCAGTTTCCCTAAAACGATGCGCGGATGAGGAAAAATTAACGGCGCGACGTACAGTAAGGAGGATTTTAATTCCTAGTAAGTGCATGGTAATGTAGTAAGCGTACTGCGTGCATAAATCTGCGCTGATTAGAATATCATAAAAGGCATTTAATATCTGTTCATTTTGTTGTCCAGTAATGAAAGACACTTATAGCCCATTCATGAATAGTGATACAATGGGAAAAGAGACCGATATTTCTTAACGTATATATTTATTCAATTTTAAAGTATGTACAGTACAAAATCCAGTTTAAGGCTTTGTACCTATTGGTTTAAATTGTGATTAAGTTGAAAGTTTTTTTTATGCTGTTCATTAAATTTATAAGTTTATTGATTTTGTTTGTAATGTCACTCTATATAATTTTAGTATACACCCGACTATTGTCTATTACAAATCCTACATTCTGATTGGCTACTCAACCATCGTCTAGCTATTCGTGATGGTGAACGTTTGGGAAAAATTTGCTCGCGCGACCATATAAAATTGAATTAATTAAATTATTTTTCGGTTGAATTTTGCGGTGCATCGATTATTTCCTCGAAATTAATATATCTTGGTACAGGGTGTGTACTAAAACAATTAGACAACTCGCCTTCGTTGCTTATGAGCGGATAGTCAACTCAGGCTTCGCCTTCGTTGACTATTCGCTCATAGACAACTCGGACTCGTTGTCTAATCGTTAAATAAACGATACTTTAACATTCGCCATTTTGTTTTGATATTATCGGACCGGAATCCTTTAGAAGAACTCGGACAAGATTTTGAGTGCATGATTTCTGATTGTCTGAGGGTTACAGCTAACGGCTAACAGCTGACACAACGATAACAATTGAAGTTAAAAATGACTTTATAAATTCCATATCCTGTATAGGAGAGAAATTTTGAGTTACTAATGTTGTCTCATGCATAACGGATTTCACTGATAAACCTGGATATTTTTCCCCAACTCGTGGGAATAAATTGAGTATTGATTTGGTAACAACTTGCAATTAGCCAAATTCCAGAATCTAAGTACAATTTCAAAACACTAGGAACAACAATCACAGTCCAGAATTTTAAAAAGAATTTGTCCATAAGCTTTTCTGTATTTGTTATGCCTCATTCCGTAGATGAAAGCATTCACGATCGAGTTTATGCCATAAAACTCGAACTGAACAACCACGAACCAAACCTGTCGGCAGGAAACACTACAAAACTCGTATAACACGATCCCAATAACTGTTGATAAAAAACAACAGATCGTCAACACTGTAAGAACAATAGAAAATGTTTTCGCTTCTGCAAACGCCTGAAATAAGCGAAGTACAACTCTCATACTGCCTGAATGTTCGTTGTGGTTGCTGATGCCTGCGACCATGGATTGATCAAAGATTCGTTTGCGATGTTTTCGAGAGACATTTAATATTCGGAAATTCAGAAGAAATATAAGAGAAAGGGGAATATAGATAAGAGGAACTGCCACAGGATAATAATTGCTTCGAGATATGTAGCAGAAACCTCTGACTCTGTTGTTGAAACTCTGATAGTGAATGTAAAATATAGCGTAAACACAGCAAGCAGTTAACCAGATTCCAGAAATGGCCAAAAACACTCGTCGACGTGTCACAATCACAGGATATTTCAGAGGTTTCACGATATATAAATAACGATCAACAGTAATTGCGAGAATTGTTGCCACTGAAGCAAACAGCAAAGACAAGCTGGTAGAACGACTTAGCTTACAAAACAAGTCCTGATCACACTCAATGTTTAATAAAGTCTGAATAAACTCCATGATCCATAGTGGATAAAATGTTAAACACACGAGAAGATCCGCTAATGCCAAGTTTGCTATCAAGTAAGATGTCGCTGTCTTTTCTTTACACAAAAAAATTGTGTATATTAATAAGGACATTTCCCAATACTCCAATAATCATCGCGATAATTTTGAAAGCAACTGAAAAGACGAGAACACTGCTGGCAACTGGAACGAGAGTTGTGCTGTTAGTCATTTTTGAGCTTTGAAGGCGCTGTACCAGTGAATGACAGGTGAATGAAGAAATTTGTTTTATATAAGTCCATGACAAAAATTACTTGACGGCGAATTTTATTGACTCACTTAAAAATAATAAAGACAATAACCTAAATTATATCAATAATTATGGCCGTTTTCTAGAAGCAAATAATATCGCCCACGATTGTTTGCCATTTTTGAAAAAATCAAGTCCATAGCTAAATATTTCACGAAAATTTGGTTTCAATTTCTATTCCAGGACGACAGTGGAAAGTTAAAATTTCACCTCTCGAACAAAACGTAGAATTCTACTGCCACATTTTCTATCGGGGGATATATTTACGCGATCATGCATTTAAGATGAAAATGACCACCAATAATAAGGTTTATATTGTTCCAAATTTGGTAATTTGTTTAACAGCATGTCGGCAGGTTCAATGATTAAATTTTTATTAAAGCAAGCGATTTGAGAAAAATGCGGATTTGAAACCAGACAAAATTTGTTAATTGTAGCACCATATTGTTATTAAGAGTTTATTAAAAGTGGAGAACAACTAAAATAATTGCGAGTTTCTGGCTATATGTCTCGAGAGACAAGAGCCGTGTTTACACTAAGTCTACAATCCTGAGCCTGGCCTAGAATTTCAGCGGTTTGCATATCACAACTTTATTTACATAGTCTGGATAAACTCGATGACCCATAGTGGATAAAATGTTAAACACACGAGAAGATCCGCTAATGCCAAGTTTGCTATCAAGTAAGATGTCGCTGTCTTTTCTTTACACAACAAAACTGAAGGAAAAGGCAAAAAATAATAATATGTTTCTTGAGTTTTCCTGATTAATATTGGCCAAAATTACTTGAAAGATGTTTATTAACTCATAAAACGGATTAAAATAAATTATTTTACTAATGATATACGTGTTTTTCAACGCTAAAATCTCGCCCACTCAAATAGCTCAATATAGCGCCATAATTTGTAACTTTGGTTGTACTATCTATTTGGATACATGCAGTTGAAAAGTTCAAATTTGCATTCAGGTCCTAAATCGTAGGATTCTATTCTATTCTGTTAACTCATCTCTCCACCGAGAATATTACCCCACTACAGAATCACTTGATATGTTTATTACAACAATTGGTAAAGTTTATTATGTTCAAAATTGGAAGTTTATTAAACAGCAAATCGACTGATTAAACCAATAAAGTTTTATACACGGCAGAGCGACTTCAAAAAAATGCCAATTACGAAGGCGAGAAATTTGGCTAATTGCCGCGCCATATTGAGCTATGGAGAATTGATAAGAGGCCGAACAATGGCTAACGAAATTTTTGACCATGTCTCAAGATGAATGCGAGAGAACAGGAGAAATTGTTCCAATAAATTTCTTTCTGTGTAGTTTGTAAGATGT